TTTATATGTCTTCCCCTGCACTGGACCAAATTTCTTAAAAACCAAGTATGTGTGTTATTTATCTTTGTATACTCCATCACAATGCTGGGTACATCTGAAATTTGTTGGAAGTATTTATTGAATTAATGCATAAATAAATAATTACTAGGCACATTACAAAATTAACTGGAGTTCTTCCTTAGGGAGAACTTTATATATACACCAGACACTCAACTTACTCACTCAGATGACCCTTGGAATTCACCCAGGAAGCAGCCTCTCCAGGATTAGTTCAGGACCATTGCCAGAGACTATGATGGCGAAACTGGCCTTCTTTCCAACCCACCTGGAAAAACTCAATTTTCTGTCTTCTCTTTAAATCATTCAAATCACAGCTTCCTAAGGAGATATTTGCCTTGGCAATTTCCATTTTCTCCCTGTAGATTAACTATCATTCTTTATCTAACTGAAAGTTTGCCTTTACGCAAACTGTGACTTGAGAGATGAAGGATGAATCAACCAATATTTGCTTCCTAGGGGAAGTTGTGCGGAACAGAAGCTCCTAGAATACAGGGACCTTACTTTCCCTTGGATCCTAGCGTAGTGCTGTTGATCTCCTGGCCTTCCATTAACTGTCGTTTGGGACTGCCTGCTGGCAATTAAATACTCTTAGGTCAGCTGGAAAGCAGCAGTTTCTAGGTACATAGCTGTGGGTCTAGGCTTCTTCTAATTGCTTTCCATGAAAAGTCATATCTTGAACTCACAAATGAATCCTCTGATATTAAACGGAAAAGAAGCTGTCTCATAGAATTATGAGCCAATTCCTAGGACAATAAAATTCTGGATTCTGACACAGAGTATTGGCTATTTAAAAAGAAATACTTTTTTTATACTTAATATTATTTTAAAAAATGGATGGAACAGTATGAAATCATACTTGATATATATATTTTTAAAGTTAATTATAACAGAAAGTATATTTAAGACTTCAAATACAGAGGTTAATAACATACCTTTTGAAAATAATTTATAGTATGCTATAGAATTTTCCTTATCTGCTTAAAAAGGTTTTCAAAATATACAATTTCCATTTTTAAATTTCTGAATTTATATACATATATAGTCATGTATATAGTTCTACTGCTGCAACAATTTCATAACCATTTTGTTTCATGAAGCAAAGTTTAGGGAAGTTTAGGGATATTTTCTAAATGTTCTTTTGACTTTGTGGCTTCTAGTACTTTCTAAAAATTCTGGCTCTAAGCTTAACTCAAACTTAGATTGTGAGTTCAAGTAATAGATGAGTTGTCAGCTCTAAATGAAAAAACAAAGTAATTTTGAGAGATGTTTTCTATCAAAAGATTCAGTTCAAGAAATATTTGTTGAAAAACATCTTTCTGTATGGTACTCATCTGGATTCTTCTATTAATTCCATGGAAGTTCACTGCAAAAATACATAATAGAAGAAACCCTCAACATTTCTTTGTAGCACATTTGTGGTTTACAGTGTTGTATTTCCTGTACCAACCCCAATGTTAATGCAGGTATTTTAAGTCTAGGGAAGAATAGAGCCCCTTTTCAGGATGTTAGTGGTGGTGGTGAAGGCAAGAGTAAGAGACAATTTTACTATGTAGAGTTGGTTTGTTGTTTTTCCTTGACTGCCTAATTAAGAAGGAGGGTAACCTACCGCCTGGGCATAGTTTGCATTGCCATAAGATAGCCTTAGAGTACCACATATTTGGGAGATAGGAGAGAAAGGAAGTAAAAATAGGAAGAGGGTGAGAAGGAAAAACAGGAAAACATTTATCCAAGTTACGGTTTTGTAAAGAGATCTAGGTACTGCACTACAAATTTGTATAGTAATAAAAGTCACTGCTGTAGTTGATGTCTGATCAGATATCAGGTCCAATTTAAAAGTGGTTTTCAAATTTTGATTTCCCTAGGTAAGTCTCTTCTTCTCAGTCCTTGGTTCATCTAACACAGCATTCCTAGTTTAGCTTAAGACGTCCCCATTCACTTTTCAGTTCACTCCTCCTGGAAGAGAGAAGAGGTGACAAAAAAAAAAAAGAGAGAGATGTACACATGCCCTAAGGCATTTTCTGTTTTCCCTCTTCTTAATTCAATGCACCAGGCTTAAATTTCTCGATTTCTTGGAGCATTAGTTGTGAGTACTAAAGATCTACTGTGTAATTAATTCAGTGTCAGTCAGTGTCCTATAGATAATACATGCTGTGGCAGGAAGGGAAAAGGTCAGTACAGGGCAGTTGATGGAGGTGGGATCTCAGCTCTGTTCCTTGGAAAAAGGTATAACTTAGTAAAGGAGAAGAGAGTAGGAAGGATATGCTAAGACTGTGGTATAGCATGAGCAGGGAGATATGGGATATATGTATGACATGTCTGGGAGAATCATTAAGTATGGAGTAGAGGAGCCAGAATGTTTCTGTATACTAAAACCAGAGTCTAAAAATTCACTATGAATCTCTATCAGTCTGTAGGAGATTAGAACTTCTCATTTACAATGAAATACATATTTTAAGTCAAGAAATAAATGGAAGCTGACTGGTTTTGCTAGAGGTGGAGAGAAAACTACAACAGTAAAAGCAGACCTCAAATGTTAATCACCTGTGGCATAGTAGTTAACTTAGAATAATATTGAAATGTTTTTGCATCTGACATTCTCCACAAACCTGTCTCCTTTTATGTGTATGCATGTCAGTACATAAATTGCTGAATCCATGTCAGTTGTAAAGTAATGGCACTGAGGGCATCATAAATTACTGTGGTGATCCTCAGGAGAAGACACTGTCGTATCTGAATGAGTGTTTCACTTCCAGAGTAATGTATGCCTTCATCTGGCCCGGCAGTCAGCATATTGCCCTGTGTTGATGGATATTGTCAGCTGGAAGCTACACTACATTTCACTGCACAATAAACATGGCTGTCAAACCCATATAAAGTGAAATCAATTTATCCTGTATGGTCAGTGCATTTTAAATGAAATTAATGTACTGTGGGTATGGTGGCAAAAAGGTAGCATATTAGTTATGCATCTTGGGATCTGAGACTTTGCATGTAAGGGATCATTCTGTCTAGAAGGGCGAAAAGAAGAGCTGTTTATAAAATATGTTATTTTTGAATGATCTTCAGAAAGTGGCTTCTCTGCCCTCCTTCAAGCTTCGAAAAAAAATTCACAATATTAGCCAATTCTACCCTTTTGTCCTGTGTTTTGTTTGCAGTAAATGATGACCATATTTGCAAAATAATAGTGAATTTTAATGTTCTAATTTATTACTGGCTTTGACACGAACAAATTTCTACTAACCAAGGTATCTAGAAATAGAGTGGAAGGGCCAGAGATTGATTGGGTCATATGTTGCTCCTGTATAATAATTTAACTCAGCTGAGAGGATTTACTTTTTCCAGAAAGAAGAAATGTTGGTTTTAATGTATATTTTGCTTTCAAACTTTTGGGGGTAGATTTTCCTGTTTATGCAGTAGAAGGGTTGGCTGAGGCCATCAGTCCAACTACTTTACATTTAATTATGGAAGTTCTCAATCTTTAGGGGGATGTTCAGTAGTTGCCACATTGCAAACTATACATCTGTGTGTCACCCTGGTATTGTGTGTGAAAACAAGCAAGAGCTATGTTCATTCAGTCATTCATTGAATCAGTCATTAATTTAACACACTTTACTAATTGAAATTCTAAGTGCCAAGTCCTTCATTGGATCCTAGGAATACAGCAGTTGAGCGAGATCCAGCCCCTTCCCTATCTTTAAGGGCTTTCAATCTAATATTGTTATTAGAGTCAGCTCTTCGGAAACTATAAAACACCAAGAATTTAGATATAGTTTCATAGGTGTTAAAAAACTACCGTTCAACAACCGAAAAATAGATCAGGCCCTTGAAATGAATACCTCTTAGTCTACTACTTTTTCATATGAGTTGAAGACCAAATTATTTTACTTAATGAGTATTTGTCATCTATTACATGGGAAATCCTAAAGAGACAAGAATGAGTACAGCATAATCACTAACTTAAGGGACCTTGTATTGCTGGGGATGGAGTGGAAAGATCAGAGGGAGATAAAAAAGCATGACTTCGGGGCATGTAGCCTGAAAGCAAGAGGAATGAGTGTAGCCTGGGGAGCATCACTATGAATGACGTTCCTTTAGTCTGAATTACCCTTCCCATCTGTCTTTACTCACCTCTCCCACTTACCCGCTGATTCCTATTCATCCTTCAAGACTCAGCTTAGACATCACATCTCCTACAAGCATCAGCTAACCATCCTATCTGGTGCTCTCTTGGTTCCCTGTTAACTTCAATATTGTAGCACATACTATACTCTTTGTTATATTAATAATTGGCTGCCTCCACCCTTCAACTGTGAGCTCCTTAACAACAAAAGCTGATTTATTCACCATTATATCCCTAGCACCTGGGATAAAGCATAGCTCATAGTAATTGCTCAATTAATATTTTTCATTAAATTAATTCATTTATGAAATATGACAACATTTGAGTAGGTCTTGGAGGATGAGTGGGATTTAGCATGAAGGTGTAGGAGAAGGGTCTTCCAGGCAGTGAGAAGATAACAGATCAAGGCATAATATTGTGACAGAGAATTCTATTTGGGGGAAACATATAGTTTGAGATAGCTGTGATTTTTGGCAACTAAGTCTAAAAATGACAGGGAACAGCTTACTTTTGAAGGAAGGTATCACGGCAGGAAGGTTTAACATAAAGTAATACCAGTCATTGCTTTATCATCACCTACCATTGATTGTAGTAGATGTATAAAAACATACAAAATTAATTCTGCCAAGTGTATTTTTGAGGGCTACATTACATTAGAAGGGCCTATAGAACTGTCATTTGAAACTGCCTTCTGCTTCCAAGAGGTCATTTGGAAGAGAAGGGCCCAGGGAAAACAGCTGAACCAGGTGGGAAGCTGTGTTACATTATCCACATAATAATGCTTTGCACTCATCTTGTTCTTCCTGCCCTGACATTACAGGAAATAAAGCAATGAATGGCTCTGCAGCTAAACTACAGCAGTATTATTGTTGGCCAACAGGAGGTGCCACTGTGGCTGAAGCACGAGTCTACAGGGATGCCCGCGGCCGTGCCAGCAGCGAGCCACACATCAAGCGACCAATGAACGCATTCATGGTTTGGGCGAAGGATGAGAGGAGGAAAATCCTTCAGGCCTTCCCCGACATGCATAACTCCAACATTAGCAAAATCTTAGGTGAGTGCAGCAGCGTAGCTGGAGCTGATCTTCTGCCCCAAGAGTGGGAAGCAAGGGTGTAAGGAGGCTCCTAAGGGAGATTGTGGTTGGCAGAAGCTGGATGAAAGCTGGCCAGCTTCTAAGGGAGCCTTTGTCATCATCTCTACCTCCCCCACTCCACAACGTGGCATGTAGATTTAGGAGTTATATCCACCCGGTGCCAGGACAGGGCTGGCTAAAAACTTATTTTAGAGACAAAACTATTTATAGTACATTAACACCATGAATTTAGCAATTCTTTAGAGGTCACTGCTAAACAGCAATAAAGGAGACAAACTTTATCTCCTCATGTTATTCAGTCTTCTTAAATTCATAAGTTGCTGCGAAGACTTGGAAACACTCATAGGCCCTACAGTTTTCTGCTTTAGTATGCTTGGGTTCACGTGTCGCACTGAAAGAATTTATCAAGGACTAGAAATGAACCCCAAAATGGTGTGAAATTCGTGGAGTGTAGAACAGTGCATCTTGTAAAATAAATCTACATTTACTTTAATAAGACATGACTAGTTCAAATTTCATAGCAATGAGTTAAACACATAGACCACAGGGCAGAGAACCATTTTGTGGTAAATTGCCAGTGACTCTCCCGTTTCTCAGGATTAAACTCAAGCCTTGTTCTATTATTGTAAAGCTTGACTAGTGCAGATTATACAGTTTGGAATTATGGTGCTCAACATATTGAACATATTTTATTCAACATGCAGCATTACAGTCAACATGTTTCCTCTTTAAAAAGAAAAAACACAGAAGGCACTGTTCTATTTAAGCTGTCATGATGTGACAAAATCTCAAAGGAAGCCGTTTAAGAAGCTGAAAAACATTAGAGACTTAAACTGTGGTTTTAATTTTTTAAATGTTTTGTTCAAAAGCAATAAATATTTAACCTGAGTAAATATCAGTGATCTGGACATACACAAATACACATGTTTTGTCACTGTATAAATAATTTAACTTGATTCTGAGACATTTTGAGGCAATGACCTCTAAGAAAATTTAAAACATACATGAGATCAAATGTGGTGAAATGTTAAAATACAAGTTTTTCTTTTCTTTTTTTCCTTTTGACTTTCAAATTTCAAAATGGATACTAAATGTCATCACAATTAAATGTGGTTTTATTTTTAGAGCTTCAGAGATGTGCATGGGGATGTTACTCTTTTAAATTTAAGTACCTTTCAAACCAAGACGTTCTAATGGACATATATTTTTTTTCTAATGAAAGACATTCTAAAAAATAAATCTGGCTTTTCAGTTTGATATCTAACTTTGAGATTTTCATTTTTTTTTTTCTGCCATTTTATTAGCAATATGAGTGAGCTTTCAGATGGGCACAGAACCTCTCTGTTTCCACTTTGGCAGCTGTGGGGAATCTATATTATTGGTGTGCGTTCTGTGAAAAAAATTATTAGGAGTATAGTAGGTATATTCATTAAAATGTAAACTTTTCAGCACAAGCATTTCAAGAGTACCAAGAATTCTCTGTTGACTGGGGCTTTAAGCTGCTGGGAGCCAGCGGAACACAGACAGAGAAGCCTATCTGCATAGACTTTTTACACAACTTTCGCACAACAATCAGGCAAGAACAGGGATGGATGTGCTATTAAAGCAGACCAGGATATTGCTGGCTACAGAGAATATTTGTACAACTTTTCCATTTGTTTATGTATGAGAAATCTCTACTGAAGAATAACTAACATCCAGTCTGCACAGCTGTTACCGCTTTATTCACCAGCAAGACACAAAAATGCAATTTGATACATGTAAAAAAACACATCCCTTCTTCGTCAAGTGTTTAGATAATTCTTTATAAACAATATTAGAGAAGTGAATACTTTTCCTTCTTCCTGTATAAACCATATTAGAACTTTTTTTTTTACTTTTATTGGTATGAGCGTTTATAGTACCTGAGAATGGTATACATAATTCTAGCCTGTATTTTCCGGTTCTAAAGCTATAACTTATTAAGTAAGGTTTAAGTTTTTTAATTACACTAGGCAAGGGGAGACAATGTGCACAGGTTTTTATATATGAAAGGATATCAACATCTGCTGATATCTTATCAAAGGATAACTTTGCTAAAGATACTTGGAGTGTGGGAGGTGTTTGAATTTCTGGAACCAAGGAAGCTTTTCCTGAGGATCCTGTCGTACTCGAAAGTATGCTTAGGGAGTTTAGGGTTTTAACCCTCCCAAGAGAGATAGGCAGGTGGATGGAGAAAGACCTTGGTGTAGGATATGACCTTGAAGCGGCAAAGATACATTTTAAAATGATATAGTAGCATAAGCCTTAAATTATCGAAACAATACAATAAATGTATTATATACAAAGTTGTTCTTTGCACTATAATCTAAAGACTAGTTGGGAGGGTCAATGGTATGTGGTAATAGGAGCTACTCAGAGCACAGGTGAGTGAAGTGGTGGGAAGATATCTCTGGTTGTATTTGCCTGGAATATGTTGCCTTGACCCTTTGGCTACTTCAGGATATTTTTATGTCTAGGATCTCGCTGGAAATCCATGTCCAACCAGGAGAAGCAACCTTATTATGAAGAGCAGGCCCGGCTAAGCAAGATCCACTTAGAGAAGTACCCAAACTATAAATACAAACCCCGACCGAAACGCACCTGCATTGTCGATGGCAAAAAGCTCCGCATTGGGGAGTATAAGCAACTGATGAGGTCTCGGAGACAGGAGATGAGGCAGTTCTTTACCGTGGGGTAAGTATTCCTGAATCCAGCCACCTGAGCTTTTCTTTCCCAGTGAGAAACTGCACGGTAGCTACTGGCAGTGTATTTGGGAAGGAGATTAGGGAAAGAGGGGGTTGTGGCCTATTGAAGATACTTGGCTGTGGGAATCTTTGCGGTGTCACAAGGGCACCGCCTTGCGACATGGCTCCTGCTCAAATCAAGCCAAGCCTGCAGCAGCTCACTCCCAGCTGATCACCTCTGTCATTGTCTCCCTTGCCAATTTAAGATGCTCAGTGCCCACACACAGAGTTTCTGGTAGTTTATTTAAGCAGACACACAGGGAGAAAAAAATAAAAACTAACTTTAAGAAATCCCAGGAAGCTTTCCAGCTCCTCTGGGTGGTGCTTCTGACTCTAATCACAATAGTCTGCTTTTGTTGTGGGATCTACCACAAGATAATTGGCCTTGACATTGGTTAGAGGACCTCATTTTTGGCATAAGATCCAGAACTCCTGTTGCAGTAAATTATTCTGTGGTAGAAGCAGTAACAATGCGGATTTTCTTGATTAAATCAGAAACTAGACATGTTTTTGATATCTTCAAGTCTGATTTCATGTCATTTTGTTTAAAAATTAGGTAATAGATTTCTGGTATAAATTTCGACTTGGCTGACTGGCTGTCTGCGTTCAAAAGAGGCCCCTCATAACCACAGTAGTCAGGATAAGTGGGGATGCAGATGCCTGTAGATTCCAGCACACCCAGACCTAGAAGCACAGGGGGGTGGCAAGCCAGAGGGCCATTCTGGAGGCACCGATCTGAAACAGCTGGAATCAGAGTAGGGAAACACTTGGGAAGGGGCTCCAGAGAGAGAAATGGAGCAAGCAAAAAGGAAGCTGCGTTCACTGTTAACTTGAAGGAGAATTGAGGAAACTAAGAGAGCTTCACTTAAAGTTGAAAAAGAGGTATCGTAAAGGAGATGTCAAGAGCTGTTTTTCAGGACACTCAAAAGTTTACCCCATGGAACAAAAAGTTGGTTTCAGAAGCATGTGTTTAAAAGGATAAAATTAATTTGGAATCGTAAATAGAATACAAAAAGCCAATGAAAGTAATCTGGGTCATGAATCTGTGCAATCACTAAAGTCTTCTGGGGAAGAGCATGAGCTTTGGAATTTGACTGCTGGGGTTCAGATACTGACTGTGCCACCTACTTGGACAAATTATTTAGCTTCCCTAATCTTCTGTTTTCTCATGTGTGAAATGAAACAAATAATAGTACCTATCTTGTACTACTGTTGAGAAGATTCGATGAGGCAATGCTTTTAAAAGTACTTTATATAGTGCTTAGTACAAGATCAATAAAGGTGAACTCTAGCATCATCATTACCATTTCATATGTATTTACTCTCATGGTAAAACCATATTTGATATCACACTAGATAATCAGTGAATTTCTTTGTATGGTGGCAGAACCTTTTAAAGGTAACAAGAGGCTTAAGCCACTTTATTATTTGAAGATCCCAATATATTAATAAATGAAGATCTGCCAAAATAGGATTATCAAATTCCTCTGTATTATAAATGTTTGCATTTTTAACATTAATGCTTATAGTACCAAAAAGTACAATACATATAATTGGGCTATTCATATGATAATTAGAGGATTTATGAAAAATACTAATTCATAGTGCACTTTAGGTAGTATAGTCATTGACAACAAAATACAAATTTAAGACTGTGTGATAAACATCCTTTTTTAATCCTGTTAGTGTATCTCTAAAATTTCTGTAATTTCTTCTGAACAGAAAAATCAAAACTTTAAGTTTGAGTGCTTTTGTGATTCCTGCCCTTCTCCCCAGTCATGTCCTCTGTGTATTTAGTGATACATAGTGGTTCTCCTTCACCATAGTCTGGAAGGCTGTCAAAGGTATTGTTTAAGTTCCCTGATATTTATTTGAAAATATGAGTTGCAGTACTAATATTTAATTTAGTTCCCTTTACTAAAGGGAACACTAAAATATCTCTAGATCAAAATACCTCAACACATCGATATGTGTTGCATATAAAATGAAAAACTAAGAGCAAAGATTCAACTCCAGGTCTTGGTCTCTGCCATGCCAAATGACTGAGGAAGTGTCTTTACCACTTTGCCTTAAAAAAATATGCCTCAGGTACTATTCTGACAGAGTCATCAGTATGGTTGTGCCATTTGAGCAAGAGCTCTTAGAACTTGGGGAAAATGAAGTCTTTGGTTGTGGCATATGGTGTATAAAAGGAGCTTTGAAATTTAGAGACTAAGGACCCTATTCCTGATAGTGTAGGAGAGTCCTTTATGGAAGGATCATTTTAGACTGTGGAATAGGGCTACGGAAGTGCCAGCAATGACCAGAATGTCTGATTCTTTAATCTTCAATGCTGAGCATTTTCCTCTTCCCAAATTTGCTACATAAAGCCAAGTATTATTTCTGCTTCAGAAATTCTTTTTTAAATAGTTATGTATTCTTTTTTAAATAGTTGTATTTGATAGATTATTAACTCCCTGAGTTCATCTTTGGAAATTGATCTTTATTAGATGTGAGGTTGTTACAAGAGGAGTAGGCAGAAAAACAAACAAAAAATTCAGAGATTGCTATTGACTTCTTGATGGAATGGGGATGAGATCAATTTTTATAGCTGATTTTGAAAAGACATGCTTAACTTTCAAACCAATAAAACTGCATATAATATTCAACATTTTCATGCATTTTACTGACTACACAATTGCTGCTGATGAGTTAGATTTTTTTACTTAGCTATTATGAAATGAATTTATCAATAATATGGAATGGAGTAAGGTTAGCTCTTACCTTGGATTTAACCCCTTCAATGCACAGAATAAGTATCAGAATTTTGTAAAAATCCTGATGAGTACTATTAATGTAGAATGATATTCATTAGGGTACATATAGTTACAATGATGTCTTATCCAAAGAACTACAACCAAATGTACTTCCATTTATTTGAAACTTACTTGGTAATTTATCTATGAACTAATAGAGAATTATGTGGGTACATTTAGGCCTCCATATCTGGGTTCCACATCTGCAGATTCAATCAATTGTGGATTGAAAATATTGTTTTAAAAATTCCAGAGGATTTTTCATTGTTGCTGATGTGTAATATGTAGTTAGGTCTATACTGAACATGTACAGATTTTTTTTTATTATTTCCTAAACAGTATAGTATAATAACATTTATATAGCATTTACATTATGTTAGATATTACCAGTAATCTAGAGATGATTTAAAGTATACAGGAGCATGTGCATATGTAGGTTATATGCAAATACTACACCATTTTATATAAGGCACTTGAGCATCCATGGACTTTGGTATCAGTGAGGGGTCCTGGAACCAATTCCCTATGGATACCAAGGGACAACTACTATAAAATATTAAATTTGGGACTACTTTTTAAGCAATGATAATGGAAAATTATTGAATACTTACTGTATCTATGTACTGTGCTGAGTGAATTATACAGATTATTGAAAATACAACAAATTTACAAGATAGGCAATATCATCCCCACTATAGGGTTGAAAAACACAATGTTCAGAAATGTTAAATGATTTGTCCGAGGCTACACAGCTAGTAAATGGCAGAGCTGAGATTTAAACCAGGTTTATGTGAATGTGAAACATATGTCCTTTTTACCATAACACATATCTCTCAATTAGAGCCTACGAATTGTTCAGAGGCTGTGTAGTGTAGTGGCTAAGAGCATCAATTCTGGAGCCAGACTGTTCTGGCTCAATTACTAGATCTTCTCCTTCCTGCTCGTAGGAACTAATGCATAGCAATATTTATTCCTCTGAACTCTCCACTTGCCCTTGGGAAACTTATTTAAACTCCCTGTACCTCAGTTTCCTCATATATAGAATGAGAATGACAATAATACTGACAACATAGGACCCTTCTGAAGATAGAGTAACATAATATATGTAAAGTTCTTAGAACACTGTCTGGTACACGATAAGCTCTAAATTAGAGTAAATCTTAGTTTTCTAGAAAAATAATGCTGTGTGCCAATTATATATTTTATATTATATTAAAAGAATTATTTTCTAATGCCTTATGCTATAAGTGATTTTGAACATTTGCCATTTTTATCTTCATCATAAAGAGGTTAAATTAAGCCTGCAAGATAAATAACTTATAAATATAATTAAAAATAATAAAATAACTTATAAATATAATTAAATTAGCATACATTAGACATAATGTTTTCAGTATTGCCCTCCTATAAAGCAACTGGATCAGAACCTCCAATAAAGTAAAAAGCAGAGTAAAAAGCATTCTATTATTTTCATTCCTTCCTGCAATATCGACTACCAAGATATATAATGTACAGGCTTATCTCCCGATGAAACAAACTTTGTTGCCTTTATTTATAGACTTTGTAAAGGTCTGAAGGGTCAGCAAACAATGGGGCTTTGCCAACATAAATATGTAGTTACTTTGCAAATGGCAAAGCTAGACTATACTCCAGAAATAGTTTTGTAATTTGGTAACCATGCAGCAATTCTGGGCTCTATCAGGGCCAGCTTATATCCTTTACTTAGACTGGGAGGAAGGGTTCTTAGACATTTCTGTTCATATCAGCTGAATGTCTACACTTTTACAAACAACTACAGCTTTTTTATATATATGCATTTATTATTTGTAAAGCCCAATACCTGCCAGCTATTCCTGCTTGTGAAATCTGCAGTGTTTGAATTTTGACTTTGAAATTGATCTATAAAGGAAGGAAAAATGCTTTTTAGGAAAGTAATTTCTGATAGACAAAGCTTGAGCCTGCTGGCTGGATTTTTCATTTTGTTCATTGATTAGTCAATCAATTGGTAAGGGCCTATTTGAAACCAGCTATGTGTTCAGCACTGAACTAAATTAATATTAGTACATGAGGAATTATTTCTGTACACGTGAGCGTTCAAAGAATGCTCTAGTTGGAGAAGCTAGACGCATACATGAATAGAGTAGCAAATAATAGT